AAGAGCATGGGACGTTGGCGCGGACACCTCGCGCGGAGCAGGTCAAGTTGCCATGGCTGAACACGCAGGCGGTCGCAATCGCGGTCCGACGGCGGCGATCAGGGCCGCCAGCTCCATCCTGAAGCCAAATTCGCCCGTCGTGGCAGCGTGGCCGGCGGACTGGTTTTGGGGCAGCGCGCTGAGTGCGAGACGCGCCGCCCAGTCCGCGGCGGGAGCCTTGGAGATCGCTTCGTGGTCGCTCGGATTATCCGTGATCTTCCGGCAGGCGGGCGGCGACGGGTGCCCGGACAGCGCTGCGGTGATTCGATGATGTAGCCGGTCGTCGCCAGGAAGGCCACGCGGCCGCGCCTCAGCTCAGCCAGGCGCTCGCGGGCGAAAATGTTCGCGGCGCCGCCTGCAGCGAGGCCGGCGTGATCCCGGGAAACAGGGTCCTGCGCGCCGAGCGCGCTCCCGAGGGCGCGCAACAGGGGGCCCGAGTGGTGCGCCCAGTCACCCCGGGCGGAGCCAGTCACGCCGCTCTGGAAGAAAATGCCGATGGTTGCCACCATGGCCAGACGACTGTAAGGAATGTCGGTCGCTCGGCGCCGCCGGGCGTCGGCGCGCGGTCGCGGGGCGGCGCGGCGCCCGCGGCCTAGGCGCCCGGGGAGGCCGCCGCGGCCGCGGCCGCTGCAAGCCGCGGCGGCAGCAAGCGCGCCGGCGGCCGCGACGGCGGCGCACGCGGCGGAGGGCGCCGTGGCGGCGTCCGAGGCCCAACTTGAATCACCGCCCCATTTGCTTAGCACTTGGTGCGCTTATAAGTGGATGTAGCTTGACTTGAAACATGCCCAACGCAACTTACAAGCACGCTAACTGCGACTGTAACCATATATTTGAATGCAAGTGCGCCTAACTAAGCAGATGGCGCAGCTAGGTAACCGCTCGCGCCCCAGTAGCTTGTTTCTAACCTCTTGAGGGTCACCTCATTAAGTAGGCAAGCCTGGTTAGCACTTAAGTGGTTAGCGAGGTTGGGAACCAACTTCGGGGAACTGTTAAATCAATTTAGCCATATGTGGTGCAAACAGCGGAAATCGGCGCTGATATCTTTACTGATGCTGATCCTCAGCGCGAAATCCACGATGAATGCTGCTGAGCTGGACGCTTGTCAATGAGATTGTAGTTTCTGGTTTGCTGGTGGGGTGGGGTGGGGGGGGGGGGGGGGGCTCATTGTTGCGGCGTTTTAAGTGGGATGTAACCGAAGTTCGGTCGCCGACAACCTTCCCGCCATCACCGCGCTGGTGTTGCCGTATAGCGGTTTTGGCTCTTCTCGTTCGCCGAGTGTGCCCTTCTCTGTTTGCCTCGGCCACTTGACATTGAACGACCATCAAGAATGGTGTTGTTGGGAAAATTGCGCGCAATGAAGGCTGATATCATACCGATTGCTCAGTCGGTTGATTGCGGTGGCGAAACTTCTAAGGCAAAGCAAATGGTTTCAACAGCAGATCGAATCACGTCTATTCTCTTGCGCGAAGCGAGCGGAACGGAGGGCGCGGCGCGCCCCCGCGCAACGCGGGCCTGCCCCTGATGGAACGCTGCGAAGCAGAAGGGGCGGGGGTGGGAGCGCGGCGCGCCTACATGGTCCACCCTGGCGCGGCGCGACGAACAGGCGCCTGCGACGCGGGCTGGTTCCTGGTAGGATGCGGCGAAACGAACAGGAAAAGGAAAGGGTGGCGGGGGGGCGGAGGCGCGGCGCGCCCCTCCGCAACGCGCGCCCACTTCTGTCAGGGTGCGGGCGGGGCCCGTTGCCACGCGGGCGCGCTGCGCAGGGGGGCGCGGCGCGCCCCTTTGCATTGCGGCAGAGGACGGAACGGGGGCGCGGCGCTCTCCTCTGCGCCGCGGGCCCTTTCCTCCGCGGGGGTGCAGGGGGGGGGGGGGGGGGGGGGGGGGGGGCGCTGCGCTCTCTCTGCAACGCCCCCCCCGCCCCCCCCCCCCCCCCCCCTCGCCCGCCCGCGAAATCCAAGGGGGCCCGACGAAGCCCTCGCAGCAGCTGCAGGAGGGGAAGGCCTGGGAAGGGGGTGGGATTACGACAGTAACTTCCACGCAGAATACACGGGGGAAGCGGCGATTTCAGAAATAGTTTGCGCTCGCGGGATTTACTCGCTTACCTTGCATGAAAGGAAGGCGCCCCTTCATCATCTCCCTTCGTCGCGCGCGGCCGATAGAAAGCCGCGGAGTCCACGGGGGGGGGGGGTCCGAGAGACCAGCCCTGAGATCCGACGTTGCGTCGAAATCGCAACGTCGCTGAACGTCGCGAGCGGGGCCGCAAGCCCGATCCTTCTGCTGCATTTTCTGGATTGGATCGACCTGCGAACGAAAGGCCCCGGGCCCAAAGCCGAGCGAAAACGCCAGGCGTGAGAAAATAGCAACGCCCGGATCTCAAGGAATTCCTCGTCTAGTGAGCACCTCGACCCCCTCGGGCGGGTCCTGTCGGCGAATTCGGAAGCGGGGGCGAGAGCTCACAGCGGGCCATCGGGGGCGGCATCCGCGAAAGGGAATGGCCTGCGGGGGGGGGTGCGACAGCGGATGGGAAGCATCCGGGACCGATTTTCAGGAACCCACAATGCGCCAAAAGACGATCCATCGCAACCTCGACGGCAACTAGATCTACCAGTGCTGACTCCAATCAGAAAAAACGAATCGACCGAAGGGGCTCCGTTGGCCTCCATGTACAACTCGAGTGGACTCTACATTCTGCCGCTCGGCTCCACTGGGCTGCATAGGAAGCCATTGGGTTACTGTGGACTCCATTTGTTCCAAAGAGTCGATTTGATTCCAATGGGCTGGCTCTACTGGGTTCCACAAGCATCACATGGACTTTATTGCTCGAGCGGACTCCATTGGACCCTATGTGCCTCCATTGGGTTTGATTGGTCAAGTGGGCTCCACTGGAAGCCCAGGGGCTCCCACGGACCTCGTTGGTCCGGCGCAATCCGTTTTCAGAAAACTCCATTGTGCACCATCGGTCAACTGGTCCAGCGGGCTCCATTGGACTCCCGTGGACTCCATAAGACTCCATCGGATTTCATTGGACCCAGTCGGACTCCGATGGTCCGATGGATACAAGTTAACTCCGTGGGACTACACGGGACTCTGAAGGTCCAGATGGCTCCATTCAACTCCAGTAGACTCCATACTCCATGGGCTCCAGTGGACTCCATTGGACCCCCTTGGTCCCGCTCGCTTCCATTGGACCCCAAGGGCCCTCGTAATATTCCATTGGGTTCATTTGACCCAGCGGAAACCAAGTGGCTCCAGCATAGTAGAGTCGAGAATGCAATGTACACTCTTCTCTACCCTGCACTCTGTTTGCATGCTGCATACTGGAGGCATCCGCAAACTCATAAGCACAATCTAATTTACTTTACTAGATTCTTCGTAATTAATATATTTGCACACCCGCGGACTCCACTCAGGTTCCTCAGGGGCCCGCTGGAATACTGAAGGTCGTACCACGGCAATGTAGAAGGCAAGCGGGACACACATACATACCAGCTCTAGGTAATAAGGTAGAAGTTCAGACACATGTATTTGGAGGACAGGCCGACACGCTTATTAGCTTCGCTATTTGAATCGACTGTGTTCGGCGGACCTGTGGTGGCAAATGACCCACTCGGCCCCAACAGAAACCTCATGGAGAGGATCGTAATATTCTGCGCTAGCTGGTGTCCGAGAGCAACGGCCTTGAGGCAGACTCATCACTTTGGTTGGGCAGGCGACTGCGCTGCATGTGGCTACGTGAACGAAAACGTATCCATCTGTTGTTTTGGACTTCGCCTAGCGCTAACGCATAATACAAAACACGGTGCCCAGGGGCATGTGTGGTCCTGGGCAGACCACCATGTATCACACCTGTAATAATCCTTTACGTGTTGGATGGGCTGCGCAAGCAGAAATGTCCGCGCACTTGCACACGTTAATGTTTCTGTTACGCATATGTACTCGCACGTGTGTATCGATACTAAGATAATGAGCATGCGCCCTCAGGTCGATCAAGGTGCGAGAGTCCAAGGGCAATCGTATGGCATTCGGAATGCCTATTTGGATGCCTTCCTTCCTGTAATTTGAAAGGCATGTCGGCGCTGTCTGGCTGCTAGATAGGCCAACCTTCATATGCGAGTGGGGCCTCCAAGAGTCCGAGCATCCCAAGGACTGGCGGAAGCAAGCAACGCCCAACCCTGTCGTTGGTAAAAGAACTGGGCTCCAGTTCCCTGCAGTCAAACACCTTCTTCAGCGTGTCGCAGAGGCGGCCCTGGCAGCACGCTATGCCCTGCCGCGGGGCGGGAGGCTCGGGAAAACTCAAGACGTTGATACCTTGGGGCCTTGAAACAGATAGCGTGTCGAACCGAGGCGCGTTGGGCCAGAACCGGCGGAACGACCCAGTATCCAGAAGTTCCAGACCGTACCCGCCCCCAGAAGGCCAAGGCCGACCAGCCACCAAGCTGTCCAGTGGACAACTCTACCTCAAGCCTGAGCATGGGAAGCTTCACTTGCCCGAGCTCGGTGGGCCGGCCTCGGAAAGAGCAGCACGGGATATGCGCATGGCCCGGGGCGGGCGAACAGCCGACCTACCATACCTGGCAAAAGAGGCACACACGACCAAACAGAACGAGAGTCTAGGGACACTTACGTCGTCGAGCTTTGGGCTTCCGAGTTGCCCCAGAGCCTCCAGGCACCTGGGGCCATCGGGGGATAAGCAACCTCTGTGGGGCACCAGCCGGCAAGCCGATATCTTGTTTGGCGTGCCTATTGCCCCGTGCCTGATAACACGCCTGCTCCAGGGCGGCTGGAAAATTTGAACCCTGACGTGTCATCGTATGGGGTCTAAACTTTACAACCGCCCTGGGACAGGCACCCACGATGGCGCAAACATTTACATATGTTACATCGATCGTGGTCCGCTGAAGAAGAAAAAGAAGAAGAAGAAGAAGAAGAAGAAGGAGGCGGAAGGATGCCGCACAAGCGGCGGTCCACGACCGCGGTGGAGCTCGGCCTGCTCGAGCGCTCGGCCTCCTGGTGCTGGGCGGCCTTGCTGGGGGGCGCCACGGCCAGGAAAGCGTCGGGGCCGCCGCCGCTGCTGTCGAGGATCGAGCGATCGAGGACCGATCGAGACTGGAGGACCGATCGTGTCAGACTCCGTTCTCGGCCGTCCTCGGCCCTCCTCCTTCTCCTCTCCCTCCCCCCTGCCCCCAAACTTCAGCACATTGATGCCATACGTCCAGGAGGACGCGTGGGTTGGTCGGCTAGGGCTCTCTTAGTTCTTGCCAAAAGTCTTCGGACATCGTTTCGGTCTAACGATGCTCTGCGTATGACCTCGCGGTTCTTGCCTCTTGGCACGTGCGAGCAACGTGTGCTCTACAACCGCCTGAGGTTGCTACAACGGAACGCATCGGGCAAGGCACGCGCAGCACGGGGGAGCCCCACAAAGTCCATGGAGCGCTTTTCAGCATGCACGCCTTGTACATCTTGGGCCTGCGCGCCACCCTGGTGGACCGACGGGGCCAACATTTCCGCAATTGGTAAAACACGCCAGTGGCCGCTCCAACGCACCGTGGCAATTCAAATGTCACTTGCCCTCCTCTGGAACGGGCCCGAGTCCGTACAAGCACCCACTTCGGGGGGCACCGCGGCCCTGCCTGGAATGGTTCGACGTGCGCACCACGCCGCGTGGTGGACCGAGCCAGGGAGCTCGGAGAAGGAATTTGGTGTATATGACCCAAACGATTCGCGCGAACCTCGGACAATTCATGTGTACCCACTGATGTTCCCCAAACAATGTTTGCAGTTAGGGTTGCTTGTCCATTTCGTAAGGAACTGGGTTCGTTTGTCGGTTCTGCCCCCTTGCTGCCGCCGTCGTTGCCCCGTCGCCGCCTCGTCGCCGCCCGTCGTGTGGGCGCGTCTGTCGGGTCCGCCGCCCTGTTGCCGCCGTCGCCCCCCCGTCGCCGCCCGTCATTTTGGCTCGTTTGTCGGGTCCGCCGCCTTGTTGCAGCCGTCGCCGCCCCATCGCCGCGTCGTCGCCGCCCACCGTCTGGGGTCGTTTAATGGATCCGCCGAATTCTTGCCGCCGTTGCCGCCTCGTCGTCGCCGCGTCGCCACCCGTCGTCTGAACCCGTTCGTCGGGTCCGCCAGCTTGTTGTCACCATCGCCGCCCCGTCGCCGCCTCGCCGCCGCAACAAGAACTGCATCACATGAAGTGCACCACATAAACAGACACACGTCAATCGCAAAACATGAATTGCGCAACATCGGTTCAATCAAAATACGTAGCACCCCGCAATTGCGGATAAGAGTGAGGGGGCGGGCGCGGGCGACGCGGGCGTCGTCGAGCCGGCGGACCTCGTGGCCCCCACCTTCCCTGTCGATGGCGCTCTCCTCCTCCTCCTCCTCCTCCTCCTCCTCTTCCTCGTCCTCGTCCTCATCGTCATCGTCATCCTCCTCCTCCTCCTCCACCTCGTCCTCCTCCTCCTCCTCTTCTTCCTCGTCCTCCCTCTCCCCCCCTCGTCCATTCATCATCGTCCTCTCATTGTCGTCCTCCCCCCCATCGGCCTCCATCATCGTCCTCCCGTTGTCGTCCATCATCATCATCATCATCATCATCATCATCATCATCATCATCATCATCATCATCATCATCATCATCATCATCATCATCATCCCCCTCCTCCCCCTCCTCGTCCTCCTCCTCCCCCTCCTCCCCCTCCTCCCCCTCCTCGTCCTCCTGCTCCTCTTCCTTTTCTTCTCCGCATTCTCCTTACATCCTCTCTTCTTCCGCGTCCTCCTCGTCCCCTGTTTAGTCCTCCTGCCTCCCCCTCCTTTCCCAAGATAACTGCAACGCTATCCTTTTTTCACTTTATGCTCCCCGACTTCTCTGATCAAGGCAACTCGCCAGGGCAAAGTTGCTCGACGGGCTGGTGTGGATGCGCGGGGCTTGAAGAGGTCCTTGCGGGTTCAGACGGCATGCAAAAATCCGCCGCCGCGTTTGTGCGGCATTGGTTTGTTCAGTGAACGTGGTTTGGGTCGCGGGTGGGTCGCGGGCTCTCCACCTCCACCTGGAAGGAATGCAAAAGCAGCCCGCCGCAGGCGCCAACAAAAATTGGTTTGTACACTGAGCGTGGTTTGGGTCGCGGGTGGGCCGCGGGTTCTCCACCGGGAACGAATGCAAAAGATGCCCGCCGCAGGCGCCGAAAAATGTGGTTTGTACCCTGAACGTGGTCGCGGGTGGGCCGCGGGCTCTCCACCTGAAACGAATGCATAAGATGCCCGCCGCAGGCGCCGAAAAATGTGGTTTGTACCCTGAACGTGGTTTGGGCGCGGGTTGGTCGCGAGTTGGTCACGGGGTGGGTCGCGGGCTCCCCACCTGGAAGAATGCGAAGAAAGCTCGCCGCAGGCGCCGAAAATGGTGGTTTGTACCTTGAACGTGGTTGGGTCGAAGGTGGGTCGCGGGTGGGTCGCGGGGTGGGTCGCGGGTGGGTCGCGGGTGGGTCGCGGGTGGGTCGCGGGTGGGTCGCGGGTGGGTCGCGGGGTGGGCCGCGGGCGGGTCGCGGGGTGGGTCGCGGGGTGGGTCGCCGGGTGGGTCGCGGGGTGGGTCGCGGGGTGGGTCGCGGGGTGGGTCGCGGGTGGGTCGCGGGTGGGTCGCGGGTGGGTCGCGGGGTGGGTCGCGGGTTGGGTCGCGGGGTGGGTCGTGGGGCGGGTTGCGGGTGGGACGACGACAGCAAACAACAACAAACAACAACAAACAACAACAACAACAACAACAACAACAACAACAACAACAACAACAACAACAACGACAACAACAACAACAACAACAACGAGAACCCGCACCGCGGAAGTCCACTTCAGCCACGCACCCACGGACAGAGAATGACCGTTCGGCCCCCTCACTCTGACATTGCATGGCGTCTGTTGCCCCACAACGATTGCACAGTCTACGTTGCGCACCGCACATGTCGCACAACATCGATTGCACAACGCTGAATACATTTAAACAAACGACCTGGCCCACCCCCCCGGGATTTTACAATTTGCATACGATTCTGACCCATCGTTCATTGTAACTATGGGCTCATACCATCCACGGGGGGGCGGCATCGCCCCCCTCTCACTCCTTACAAAGAATAGTGTGCGCGAAGAGTCATTGAGCAATAGCGGTCAGATTCCCAAGCCCCTTTTTCAACATATGGCACACGATCCACACGCGCGCGTCGTCGCGCGCGCATGACGCAACCATTAATATTTTTTTGGTGGAAAATACTATTGGTACGAAGTTTAAACTCTGATTCTTCTGGAAACATACAGGACACCGGTGGTTTCGCAGCACGTTTATTGGTTACCCCCCCCCAAAAAAAAAAACAGCGCGATTTCGCGACCAAAAGAACCCCTCGCGCGCGCATGACATAATCATTCGAAAGCCTTTGCGCCCATGCTGGGGGGGGGGCACGACCTCTGTCCAATATGCTATGCGGGCCACTCGCGCCCGTCGGCCGCGCACATGTCGAAATCTTTCCAAAACCGTCATCACCGAAACGTGGACCCGATCATCACCGGCGTGATCAACATCGGCGCCAAGATTGTTTTTTTTTTCCGTCGTCATCGTCAGCATCGTCACCAGCCTTGCTACTATTCTCACCGTGCCTGCCGCTGTCGACGTCGCCATGATACTCCACTCGCCCGAATCACCAACCCGCACTGAAGTACCCGCGCGTCGGCGCGGCCTGCGAGACGTGCTGGGAAGTGCCCAACAGTCAGCGCCACCGCCGCCGCGTCGGTCGCGCCAGACTAGCTGGCCGCCGTGCGCGCGAGCCTGCGCTCGCTAGCGCGGCCGCAGCGATGCGCCGTCAGCGCCAAATGTTCATGGCAATCTCCGCTGCGCGACCTCTGCAAATCAATTTGCGGGCGGTTGGGTGGGATGATTGCGCGATTCAAACCTTCAAATCCGGCAACGGGGATTGCACCACGTAGATTGCCCCACCGACGTTGCACAACATTGATTGCAACACATAGTTTGCACCACATATTTTTCGGCATACCGACTGCACAACAGAAGCGGCACAACATATATTGTACAACATGGACCCCACACCATATATCGCACAACGCGTATCGCACAACATTGGTTGCACCACGTAGGTTGCTCCACAAGATTCCATCATACATCTTGTGCCACATAATTTGCACCACATGGGATGTGCCACGTACACTGCACAGCATAGGTTGCACAAAATAGATTGTTCAACGCGCACGCGGTGTTCGGGGTCCACTCTGGCTAGCATGTATACATTAGTTGTTGCTCTGCGGGCTTCCGCAAATACGCAAATTCCGGCAACCTCCATCGGCCAGCTCTGACGCAAGCCTGACAAGTCGGCCGATACGGAGCTGGCGGCTGCGCAAAGCGACGCGTTGGAAGTGTACACGTGCATGCGCGCGCGCACGCGCGGGCAAAAACGACATCTTTACTTGCCTCAGCACGTGGTCAGAAGAGTGTTCCTTGCTTTTCTCTCCTCCTATCCTTCTGCTTCTTGTCTTCCTCCTCTTCCTCCTCCTGTGCATCGCTCCCCAGCCAGCTCCGGCCTGCAGCCGCGGGAGCATCCGCAGCTCGAACTCGCCGCCCGAGCCGCCCATCTCCAGCACGCTGTCTGGGGGAGGGGGAACATCCTCCATCCCCCGTCACTATCCGCCACCCTGGCGTTGGCACCGAGCGGAGTATCGTTCGGTCCTTTCGGCTTCTCTGGGTTGAGAAATATACGTCCCTTTGAAGGGCTCCAGTCCCCCGACTCACTGGCGCTGTTGCGGTTATTATTGGAGCGCCGCTGATCAGACATCAAGCGGAGGGACACCACGGGCCCCCAGGAGCTTCATCCTTCGCCTCCTCTCCCCTCTCCTACTCGTCCCCCCTCCTCTCCATGCGGCATTCAACACTGCAGCGCTGCTGCTGCGCAGCTGCCCCCCCTCCTCCCCCTCTGGAACCCCACTGGGGGAGAGGACGGCCGGGGCAGCGACTCCTGAGGTCGGCAGCGGGGTCGCAGGCGTAGTGGCACGCCGCCGCCGCCGCTGGCCCGCGTCGGCGGCATCCGCGGCGTCGGCGTCGTGCAGCAGTAGATGCCTGGATCGGGCGCGCTGGGCAGGCTCGCTGGAAGCCAGGCAGGAACGGTGACGGAATGAGGGCTGGAAGCCCCCACTGCTCTGGCCCCGCACATGCCCTCACCCTTGATGCTGCTGGTGCTTCTCCTCTTCCTCCTCCTGGTCCTCCGAATCAAGCCTGCCTCCTCCACACTTCGCCGTCCTCCTCCTCTATTTTATCATCCTTATGACGTCCTCCTTCTCCCCTGCCTCCTCAACATGACCTCCTCCTCCTTATCACCATTGTTATCATCCTGCCTTTCTCCTCTTGCCCATCGTCCTCGTCCTCTGGCCCAAGAGGGTTGCAACCGTCGGCCGAACGACCATATTGGAACTGACCAGGGAAGGGCCGAAGAAGGAGGATGAAGACACAGGTGCTGCACATGCGCAAACAAATATTATAACCACTGTGTTAACCTGCCCCCACTGGAGAAACACATCCACACGTCTTGCGGAGAGCGTGTCAAGCGGTTTGCGTAACGCCTGCCGCCTCAGACGCAGAGCCAAGCGCGACCTCGCGCCCAGTGACGCCCCCCACGGGGCTCGGGGCTCGACGGCTTGACAATATCCCCAGGGAGACGGGTAGAGAGAGAGAGAGGGACAGGGAAAGAAAGAGAAAGGGACAAAGAGAGAGAGGGAGAGAGAGAGAGAGAGAGCGAGTGAGCGAGACACAGAGACAATGATAAGAGGAGACAGAAAGGGAGAGAGAGAGAGAGAGAGAGACAGAGAGATAGAGCGAGAGAGAGAGAGAGAGACAGAACAAACAACACAAAACAATCAAACACACGATGCGGACACGTGCGTCCGGGCCCAGCGGCGTTCGCCCACGCTTGGCCAGCTCTTCTGAGCCAGATCGGCGGCTCAGCTTCTGCTTGCGGGGCCCTGCCCCGAAAACACGCGCGGAACACCATGCGGCCGACTCTGGAAACCCTTAACAGAAAAACGTTGCCGTCTCTTGCAGGCGCATCTTCAAATTCCGCCGGCGGAGATGGCCTCGTTTTACGTCCTCCGCATTCCGCAGGCCTTTCGCCGCCTTCCGCCAAGGCAACGATCCGTCGAATACGAGGCCCTTTCTGCAATGCCTTATGTCCCGCGGCGCCGCGGCACCCTGTACGAGTCGCCCCTCACCCCCAAGAGGAGGGGGTGCGGCTCATGTCTCGCGGCTAGAGGAACAAACAATGGCATAAGCACAGGCTATTAGAGGTCAGCGCGGATTTCTCGGATTGGCGCTGGACCCCCCTCCTTGGCGTGCGGATCGCGCCAGGGGCTGCGCTGGAGGCGCCGCCAGGGGTCTCCGGCGCCGATCCGAGAAGTCTGCGCAGACCTTCGAACATTTATACTTATGCGGTTTGTGTGTTCCCCGAGAGTCACGCGAGAGAAGAAGAGGAGGCGGAGGAGGAGGAAGAGGAGGAGGAGGAGCAGAAGCAGAAGAAGGCGGAGGAGGAAGAACAAGAAGAGATGGAGGTGGAGGTGGAGGAGGAGGACGATTTCGAAGGCAGGAGGAGAAAGAAGGCAGGAGGAGGCAGGAGGAGGGGAGGCGGGCAGTTCAGGGTGACAGACGCTTACGCGCGGCAGTCACCCTCCCCGACGCCCACAAGCCGCCCCGCGGGCCGGCGGCGCAAGGAGGGGGGGGGGGGCGCGAAAGGGCGAGAGCGCCGCCCGGCCCGGCCCCACGGAGGCTCGCCCGCGGGACCTGTGCACTGGTGGAGAGTCGAGGAACTTGTGGAGGTCCGCGCAGCTTGTCGGCGCCACAAAAAGAGGGCGGCTGCCGCGCGGCTTGTCGGCGTCACCATGCAGTGCCTGCGTCCCCTTCCTCTTGGGGGGGCGGGGGGCGGCCCGCACGGGGTGCCTCTCGGGGAACACACAATCGCATAAACATAAACTGTTGGGTACGGGTCTTACGCGAGTTGGCATAGCGACCTTACGCATTGCAGCTGGGTCGTGTCCTGGGGACTCGGGGAGTAGCGGATATGGATCGAGGCCCGCGCGGATATCTACGATCGGCGCCAGAGTCCCGTTGCGGCGCCTCCGGCGCAGCCCCTGGCGCGCTCCGCATGCCAGGGAAGGGGGTTCATCGCCGATCCGAAAAATCCGCGCGGACCTCAAAAAATATATTGTTTATGCGACTTGCTGTTCCTCGAAGAGGCCCCTCCCCCCATGGGGTTCCGCCCAACGGCGGTGCAGGTGAAACGGATGCGGCCCAGCCAAACAACCAACATCAATTCCAGGCGCGGCAGCAGATCAGTACTTTCCCGGACAGCCCCGTACGCGGGCCCACCGCTAATCAGGGACCAACAACCAGGGCAGAGGAGGGGAGGAAAGGAGGAAGGAAGAAAGGAAAGAGAGATGGAGAACAGGAAGGGAATAATGACTGCGAAAGACGGGAGGGCGGACGAGAGCCAGTGCAACGGTCCCTGGCAACGCGACCATCATCCTCTTACCCTTTTTAGTCCTGCTGCTCTTCCTCTTCCCGCTTGCCCGTCGCCCTTCCTCCCTCGCCAGCCTCGAGCGGCCCCCAAGAAGGGAATGAAGGAAGGAAGAAAGGAAGACCCCTTCGAGAGGCTCCTGGGGAAGGGCCACCGCTCAGACTGCGTGAAGACCGACCAGAACGCAGCACTATTGGTTCCGGTGCGCCCGAGGGGCCTGCAGCGCAGCCCCCAGTGACAGCTCCGACCCCAGCCCACGCGTGGACCTGGACGGGGATCCCCGTCCGAACGAAGTCGTCCGAGGCCTGTCCCGATCGACACCGGGGCTCTTTCACACGTGACTCGGCGACGAGCGAGGGGGGTAAATGAGAAGGAGAAGGTTTTCAGACGGCTCGGAAGCACCCCGACTTTCTGAGAAGTGTCCTGAACCATCCCCGAAGACACAGTAAACTTCTCAGAAGGCTGGAGCGCTTCTGAGAAGCCCCGCCGCCGTCTGAGAAGGCCGTCTCCTTTTCAGGCCTTCTCCTTCTCACTTCCTCTCGCTCGCCGCCGACGCCTGGCCGCCGCGGAAAAGGCAACACGTCGGGTCGGGACAGAGGACATAGGTTGTCGCTAACCGTCGGGGGGCGAATGATGACATGAGCTTTACCTTTTCGGAGGTCCGAGCGGATTTCTTGGATCGGAGCTGGATTCCACTCGCTGGCGCGCGGAGCGCGCCAGGGGCGGCGCCGGAGGCCGTGGGCGCCGCCAGGGGGGCCCAGCGTCAATTCCAAGAAATCTGGGCGGAGCTTCGAAAGTTCATGTTCAAATCTTGTCTCTTCTTCGAATGTCAGTGTCCGAGTTCGCAGTTGCCGCCACAAGGTCACTCTGCAAACGAGGTGCAAAGCAGAGCGCCACGCTTCGCAGAATGTGGAGCCATGGCGCCTCAGCGTGCTCAGCTGCCGCTTGAGCGCGGCGTTCTCCTCCGCCAGCTCCTAGGGCAGAGACCGAACTCGCAAGATGCTCCAGGAGAGCTGCTACGGTCAGGAACTTTTGCTTAGCGTGTCGCCGTGGCGGCCCTGGCGACACGCTATGCCCTGCGAGCGGATAGCGTGTCGCTCCGCTCCGCGTGGCGGAAGGCTGGGAAAGGCTCGGGACGGTGACGCTTGGGGACCAGAAAGTGGATAGCGTGTCGCGCCGAAGCGTGGTGGGCCAGAACCGACGGACCGACACGCTATCCAAACATTCTCGACCGTATTGCCCTCCGCCCCCCCCCCCCCAATACGATCATCAACAAGTAGAGCATAAGTGCTCCATGAACCGGCCTCAAGGGTAGAGGAAGGGACAATGGCACGGACCCGACCGAACAACACAGAAAAGGCCTGACTCGCAGCTTCCCGAGGCAGGGGCACCTGCGAGGAAAAAGCAACACCCGCAGCCAAAGGGCCCACCTTCAGGTGCGAAAGGGAAACTATGAGTCGTTGTAGAAGGCACGCACGAGTGATAGTCCAGGTCATCATAACTCGCGGCGAAAAGGCGCAGAGGCACCCGTGAACAGAGAGGCCGCGCCCAAAGCCAAACGCTCATCTTCGAACTCCCCAAGAGGAACCACAATCATTCAGGTGGCCCACAACCGGCTGTACAGCGCCGAGCAGGGGCGAAATCTGAGCGCGAAGCTCGGCAACGTGTTCTTCGAAGAACATGAGAGAGACGTATGGGCCATCACTTTGGACTCTGGGGTCTAGCCGGCAGGCCTGCACTGCATGAAGATACCGCCACCTAGGCCGTTCGATCCTCATTCCTTCTGAAGGGGGCGAACAGCAGAAACAATCGTAGCCTGAATCTTTCCTATGGCAAGAACGGGCATGCGTGCTCCTGTCTCCATATCCCTCTTGGTCCTCAGCTTGCTTTGCCCAGGGTAAACGGGGTCAAGGAAACCGAGAAGCTGGTAAGCGGCAGTATGGTTGAGGAAACCAATGGTTTTCGACGAACCGGGGAAGTCCAGCGCCACTTGCTTGGTCATGTCGAACGTTCGAACCAAAGGACGACAGACCACACTTTGAGGAACACCAGCGAGCAGAAAAATACCCCCCGCGCGACGAAAAGAAGCCTGCATCATCTTCCCGGGGAAGTCTGCAGTTACGATACGGTAAGCACGTTCGGTGGCCTGGAAGAACGGGAAGAGGACCAAGTGGCTGAAGCAGGGGTATTTGGAGCCGTCAGCGGAGGCGGTGGTTTCAAGATGTTGCGAAGATGCTCTCTATGACCAGGATGCGGTTCTGCACTGAGGCGGAGCCCAGGGGCGTCTCCATGTGAATGCCAGCACATGGGGTAGTCGTTCCTTCAATCTGCATGGCACTGACACGAACATGCATGGCCCTGATCTGCTCGTGGAGCGCGGGGAACTTCGCGTCGGCATCATTGGCGTAGGCGGTGACCTGATTGGATAGCTCACCAAAACGACCACTAGAGACCTCCTCTTCCTGTTGACACTGACAGCATCCTCGCTCTTGCAAGATACTGCTCCTGCTAGGGTCTTCATCGCGTCTAAGATCGAGTCTATCTGTCCTTCGATAGCAGAAATTTCACCCCTGCGGTCCTGTACACAGCGAGATCGGGTCATTTCACCCGACGGATACGACGAGAAAATACGTGCGACCCGACGCGCACGTTGAGTCTCCCCACGAAACGACATCGGAGCATCTCAACAAATTGTGCCGAACGACTTCTTGGCAGAAGGCCTGAAGGAAGCGTACTTTGGCGAACGTCCGTGTGGAGAGGCTTCTCCTCCATAACAGGGAACTCCGGGCCTTCCCCTCGTCAACAAACAAGTTCGAAGCGCCAGGGAAAGGTTGCGGACATGAGCCGAAATGGTTTGAACCAAGATTGCAACGGAAATCTCTGATGAGCTTCTTGGATGCAATTTTGAAGCCTCTGTGGACCTCCTGGGGGCCAATTGGGGCTCTCTAAGCACCTCTTTGGGGCATCTTTGGAGCCTCTTGGGTCCTCTTGGGTGGTTATTCGGGGCCTCGTGGTGGTATTGGAAGTCCTTCTGCGGCGGAAGGACCGAACTGTCACTTCGAGTTCCCCTTCCTGGGCTTCTTCTGGGGCTCTCCTGGGGCGCTTTTGGGCCATCCTGGGCGCATCTTGGGCTGTCTTTGGGCGTTTTTGAACCGTCTGGGGGCTCTCTCGGGGGCCTCTGGCTGCCTTTGGGGCGATCTTGGGGTTCTCTCCTTGGGAATCTTGGGAGTCTCTTCAGCCGTCCTGGATGCCGCGAAGAATAACATACAAAGTCTGCAAACAGATTCCTGGCGGCCTCTGGGCGTCCTCTGAGGCCGCCGAGGACGCCCCTCGAGGCTCTGATACAAACCCCTGGGGGCAAAGTTTGACGCCGGGGGGGAAGGGTTTAGTGCTGCCCCTGGTCCCTGGGACCCTGACGCCGGTAATACTGTAGATTTATTCGCTACACCCATATGTTTCCTAATTGATCTAGCCCCGCGCATCGCACACTGCGGTGCGCCGTTAACTTCGCGCCCTCGCGCCGCCTCCCTGAAGATGGGCGCCTCTCCAACCCAAGCAGCGATGCACGAAGAGCGATTATCTTCGCACCCCTGGGGGAGACCTGGCTTTCCAAACATGCAGGGGTTGGGCATACCGTTTCGAGCACTGTCGTGATCACAAGTGTGGCGGCCAATGTCCTGCACGAGACAGCGTGATACCACTGTCTTCGTCTGGCGTGGGTCATGGCGGTTAGCTGTGACAAGAGAGAGAAAGAGAGAGCAGCATGACATTTACTTGGCGCGAAGATCCTAATATCCTCGTCTGCTAAATTCACTACTCGACGACGGCAGATGCAAATGAGGAAGCGGAGGATGAGGAGGTCCGGAGCAGAGAGCGAATGAAGGGATCGGCACTTGAACAATTTACCGCGTGCCAGACACGCAGCCCGCAATGCTTTAACTCTGGATGCCACAGACTTTGTACCTGACGCGCATGGGAACCAACATGATGCATTCATATCTTATGCCAGTCCCGACCGTTTCATCGACCGTGGCCGTCAGGACGACAACCTCTGAAGCCATATAGGACCATGCGCTCATGCGCTCCTGCTAATGACCTGGTCGGGGGCCCCGCACCTCTTCCCACTATTGGCAAGAGAGGTCGAGGCCAAGGACCCTTCGGATGCACCGCATGCGTGTGCGACCACCAAGATATTTGAAAGTAAGCGCTTGGAGCCTCCGACAACCCCTCTTCACTGCAAATGTGACACGGGGCCCTCGATGACACCGCGACCCAAAGCGGGACAAAGCCGCCGGTGGCGGGGGCCCCGCGGCAGCACGAGCGCAGAGGCAATGCGGGCCCGAGTGTGCTGGCAGACGCGCCAAGACCACAAGCGTGCGGAGGGGTGGCTGCGCCGAGCGGCGAGAGGATGGCCGGCAATCCCGCGTTACGGTGAAATGCTCGATCTGGGGACCTTCCTGGAGCGACTCGCTCCACTCGTGTGTCGGAATTGCGTCGAACGCCCGTCCAATCAGATGAAGCTTGAGTTGGACTTGAGTCGAACTTGAATCGAGCTGGAATCGAACAACCGTCGAACCAGAATAGAGCAGATCCGTTGTGGGTCCCAGGAAGGTATCCGAAGCAAACATCTGAACCAAGAGGTGCGTGTTATAATTCTGAGCCACCCTGCTGCGGCGGTCGAAGAGAAATGGGGCGCAAAACTGCCGCAACGTTGTCAAAATGAGCGCCAATCGGCCGGGTCCTTGTTGACTGCGCTCTCATTGAACGTGAACTGGCTGGAAGCGGCCGACGAGACCGAGATTGAGGGGAGGTGGAGAAGTTCTCAGCTGCAGACTAGGCCACTGATGCAAAACTGTGCCGGGGCACTTATACACTCGGGGGCGCGCAAACATGGATTAGCGATCCATGGATCTGGCGCGCGGTCGCCAAATCCATGGATCGGGGGAAGTGCCCTCCCCAAAACGTGGCCTCTGCCGCCTCGTTCGGCAGCGGAGATCCGTGATTTCCCATGGAAACGGGACCCGTCGCTAATCCACGCCCCCTTGATCCATGCTTGCGATCGCCTAATACATTCGAATGCTTGCATCACTGTGCAAGCGCTCGTGAGTGCACGAGCGTAACGGTGCTTGCGTGTCTGTGTGCGCAAACCTTGGTTCAATCATGGAGCGCGTCGGTGTAGTCGAGCTAGCCGGAACGATCAGAATCCGAGCAAGACACGTCGACATTACATTCAAGGAAAAACAATGAACAGGACGCACGGGTGTGAGCACTGGGGGGCCATTCATCTGGAGGCGGTCTCCCCCAAGCCGCAACCTCTGGACAGCAGGCCGCCCACCCACCAAGCTGGCAAGCGCAGTGTGCTCTCGGGGGGACGCTCTGCACCCTCTCCCCGCCAGATGCCGCCAGCCACCATTCCAACAAGCCCCCCGTGACCACCCCTGGGGGAGTCCTGCAGCGGGCACTGGCCCCCCCGTGTCCACCACAGAGAGCCCATCACCGCCAAGGTGTGGAGGAATGGCAGGCAACACTTTTTACGAGCGCAAGTGATGTTTCGCGGGCTGTGTCGCGCGCATGCCTTCCAACATGCACCTATGTATCCCACGCCGGGCCCCTTGCGCTTAAAGCGGCACGGCCAGTGGGCACTTGCACCTCACTGCGGGCTCCTGTCACACGGGCCTCGCGCTGGCAGAGCAACTCCAGCGAAGAGACGTGAGAGGGCGTTCGCGTGCAACGCGGAACACATTCCATCTCTGCCTACAACTTTCCCGAAACACTGGGGCCCCTGCGCCCCCCAAAGCCCAGTACATAGCAACCTCTTTCTCCTGCTCCTCCTCCTTCTCCTTCTCCTCCTCCTCCCCTCCTCCTCCTCCTCCTCCTCCTCCTCCTCCTCCTCCCGCTCCCCCTGCCCATCCACCTCCTCCTCCTCCTCCTCCTCCGCCGCCTCCTCCGCCTCCGCCTCCTCCTCCTCCTCCCTCCACCGCCCACCCCATGTCCTGAGCCTCTTGCAGGGTCATCAGCCCGTCGTTGTCGTTGTCGTTATCGTCGTGGTCGTCATCGTCCGTCTGGGTCGGCGGCACCGGTCGTAAGGCCTTCACAATAAACAATCAGCTGACAGTCAAGCAAATCGAACCGACGAGAAGCGGCAGAATGGCCAGAGCGATGTGAAGGAAGGCGCACACCGGCACTGCTTCGCCGGCGTTCGAAGATGCTGGCGGGCACGACGACAGCAGCCCGTGGAAAGGCACCCGGCCCTGGGGGCGGTCTTGACCGTGCGTCTCAACACCCTCCCTCTTTTCATAATTCTGCTCCTGCTCCTCATCATCCTTGGGTTTCTATTCCACTTTCTCCTCATCCCCTTCGTCGTCGTTGCTGTCGCCGCCGTCGTTGATGTCGTCATCTTCGCCCCACTCATCATCATAGCGACATGCTGCTGCTCCTAATATTCCTGCTCCTCTGCCTCGCATGGGGGCCGCTGTCTCGTGGCATCCATGGAAGAGGAGGAGGGAGGAAAAAATAGGTCATGGACATGTGCGCCGTCTCCTCCTCGCCCTCCTCCCTCCTCCGTCAAGTGCCATAGGAAAACAATGCGCTTTGACTACTCGCATAATGGGGAGGGTCTGAAGGAGACCGTGTCCTGGTCCCTGCCCAGACAGCCGGCGTCTCGAACAAATCGAGACAGCGGTGTTGCATCGTTGTCGGCCTCTCGGGATCCTCTCAGCGGGCCTCGGGCCTCAAAAAACTACTCGGGATGAAAACAAATCGAGATGCTGGATGCATGGATTGAGGGGCAACGACACGGGGGGTGACTGGCATAGGGAGGGATATGTATCGACCTGGAATCAGCGATACATCGCCGATAGATAGCCGATCGGCCCCCGGTAGCGAAATCGCACCTTTCCTGGGCGGGGTGGAACTATTTGACCCCTATCGGCGATCAATGGGCGATTAGGGGTCGATGCATCCCCCCTTCTGCCTATCACTCCATATAGTTGCCCCTGATGGGTGGGGGCTGTCCCAGACATCGGCCTCTCATCCCGAGCAGCTGTTTGACGGACTCCCGGGCCCTGGGATGGGCCCCACAGCAGGCTGGCGGCGACATATATCACCCCTTCGCCCCGGGAGCCCGCCGCCGCTCGTGCGCAGCCTCAACAACCGAAGCCCGGCCCCATCAGGCGTGCAGCGGTCAGGAAGCCTCCCTGGGAGGTCTTCGCAAGAACAATCTTATATGAAAACTACCATGAAGTCCAGTGGGAAAAACAGGAGAAGCCAGATTAGGCCAGATTGGAACCAGGATGGAGCTACATTGAGCAGGATGACGCCAGATTGTGCTGCATCGGGCAAGTTTCCGACAGCGGATAACAATGACGCACGACAAGGATGCAAGGGCCTCGGAAGACCATGCCAACACTGTTCGAGCAGGGCGCGGCCAGCGAAAGCGGCCAATGATAGGCCGAAGGGGAAAGATGCAAGGGTGACCTCGGAAAATTGCTCATCCTTTCTAATTATGCGAGTTGACTGCACACAAGATTGAGCCAGATTGAGGGGGATGACTCACGCCCCACGGGCCACTCCTGCCCAGAGGAGGGCCGCTCCTTGCGTGCGCAGCTGAAGAAGAGTTGAAAACAGCCCTGGCTTCGGATGGGCACCCTGATGCTCTTCGTGTTTGCGCTCTCCACCTATATTTTTCCGCCGTTCCTCGTTGGTCAAGTCTTCGACAGCGGATATACCAGCGCCGAATTTGAATCGACCATCCCAGGAACTGCACACCAACAACGGGGATCCAGCCGCGGCGTTCCCAGACCCCGATCTTTCTGGTCCAGCGCTCACCAGGGGAGGCCACGTCGCAAACGCTGGCCGGCTGCACTTTCAGTAGCTGCCACACCCCAGTCAGCGGAGGGGCGGGAAAGGGAGGGCTTCGGTTTTGGGGGGCGACATGGGAACCCTACCAACACCAACCATCGTTCCCCTGAGTCGATGGGAGGCGGGGGCAGGATTCGGATTTCACCGCGCATCCGGTGAATTCCGAACCCTGGCCCCGCCGCCCATCGAGTTGCCTGAATCGGGGATCGGCGAGGGTGGGGCTCGGACTCCGCCGCCGAGTTCAACGCTGCTCCCAGACCTGGGTCGGCCACAAAGGATTGGCTTGTCCCAGTCAGCACTGACCCCCGTGACTGCTGCCTGCTGCGCTCTGGCCCTCCCTCTGGGCCCCGCCGCCTGCCGTGCGGGGTCCGGAAACGCCCCACAGGCAAGAAGGCAGCCCCTCTCCTGGAGAGCGCTCTGGCAAGAAGACAGCCATCGCGCTGCCGTGAGGAGCGCCAGGGGAGGCACGCAAGGGCTGTCCTGGCCACGGCGCGAGCCTCGGCCGCGAACAAACTCTCCGACCCAAATCTTGGGACGGGCCGAAGCCGGAGCCCTGGCTGAACCCGAAGTGGTCCTCATTTTCAGAGCCTTGACGGTGTCGACGTGTTCGCAGATCGACCCTGTCATGTAGAAGCGTACCCTAAAACTGATGGAGTTGTGCGGTCCTCTTCGGGATCCGCGCAAGCTCGCGGCAAAGATACCATTGCCGAAAGCGTTTCCAGTGGTGCCGCCGACAATACTGCACATGTTGACCCAAGCCGCATTTTTCAATCATTGCAGCCTAGCGATGATATGTTGGAAGTGCTGGATCTGGACACCAACTCCGAAGACGACACGTCGCTGCATCATGTTGGTCTTCCTTCTGTTAATGCTCTTCACCATCGCATTTGCCATGGTGCAGTGGGGCCGGGTACGGACGAAGCTGCTCCACCATGGACGGCGGCATGAGTTGTCGTCACCGATGACACCGAGACGAAGATTGAAAGACTTCCTCGGAGCACTTTGGGGGTCGGCAAAAATCTTTCTAGTTTGCGCGCGCCCAATCGTGATTGCACCCCTCTGGCCGAACAGTCGTTCGGGAGCTGGAATGTTGAAGGCCTCGGCGCAGATATGGAGACGTCTACATTATTTCAACACGACATGAAACGTCATAAAATCACTGTGCTCTGCATGCAAGAAGACGGGCCTTGCCGCGCATGCGGATGAAGTGGATTCAAGGTACCTTCTTATTTTATCGGGGACTTCTAAACCGCCACCGGCTGGTAGATTCTATTCTGGAGTGGGTTTCTTAATCTCCCCACGTGCGATCAAATTTGTCATCAGTTATAAGCTTACTTCGGACAGGCTAGCCATACTGAAACTAAAAGTCCGTGGTGGAGTACTTCATATTGTTACGGCGTACGCTCCGCATGCAAGTTACGATTGCGAAGACAGGAGGGAATTCTATGACCAGCAGCTGGTCATAGAATTCTGGCTGGCACCGACCAAACACAACTGTACAATTGCTCTGGGGGGTTTCAACGCTAGGCTGTGCGACAGTCAGCCGGGAGACGACGACGTGATATGCGAATTCAGCTTTCGAAGTAAATAGCTTCAGCAGCGCAAGTATTTGAACAACGATTTGTGCAGAGCAACCTCGAATGCTATTGCCAACACGTTTTTCGAGCACCCGCCTGAAGAGTTGGTCACGAAAAGTCCTGTGGGAGAGGGCTTCGCTCAAAAAGACCACTGTGTAACGAACCACGTAACAATTTCGAAGATACAAGATATTTAGGCGGATCGCGGATCAACTTTGGCATCCCGGCATCTCTTAATGCGCATGTTATTGGACATCGATTCTACATCATCCCGCAAAAGCGCAACATAGGCACAACATACAGGAACCTCTTGGTGAGCGACAGGGACATGGCAAAATCTGATTGCCAGCGGTTTTGCGAAGCATCTCTCGCGGCCACAGAAACGGCGAACGGCCAATTAGATCCGCGATGGAATGCGCAGCAGATTTTTTGTCATCAACGCTAGACTTGTTGAACAAACGCGATCAACTTCAAGCGCAGGGGACGACGGAGGAGCTACAGAAGCTGAGCAAACGTATCCAAGCATCCGTGAGGGCTGATAAGAGCAAGTGGTTGGAAGCACAGCTGGCTGGAGGATCGTGGACAGCAGTTCGGGCACTGCGAAAGACGCCTCCCAAGCGGCCAGTCCGAACTCAGTACAAGCGAGGACAGATTGTTGATAGTTCCCAACGTGCAGATGCACCAGCCGATTATCTTGAAGAAGCAAAATGGAAAATTCAACATGCAACTCTCACACCGACTTGGCACGATCACATAGGACATGCATACCGATTTCGACTGACACTTCCAACATGAAAGACCTGGATTGCGGGCTCTCTCGATTGGCAAAGCGGCCGGTATTGACGACATACCTCCAGAGGTTTGGGAAGCATTGTTATGGTCACAAGAAACATGCGACGAATTGTTGATATTCTTCCAGAGGTGTTGGGACGACAAAGATATCCCAGAAGAGTGGCATACGTCATTGGGGGCACTACTGCACAATAAGGACGACGAAAGCCTTCCAGAAACCTACAGGCCAATCTCTCTTTTAACACTTGGATGCGAGCTCCTAGCGTGGATGATCCAGAGAAGCATCCAAAATGGCGGGGCAGAGCAAATAATGCCTTCGAGCCAGTTCGGTTTCCACCCAGGCAGAGGCACTTCACAAGACATCAGCATCGCACGTCGCATGTTCGAAGCTGCGCAGACAGACAGGTAAAGCGGCAGGACTGATTGTAGTATTGCCTGATTGGTCAAAAGCTTTCGATCGAATTTGCCATGATGCTCTTCTAGGTGCCCTACGAAGATTCGGACTACCTTGGGACATAATGCAGCTGATTGCGTCCATCTACAAGCACATAAGCTTCATATTAAAAGATCCTGCCGGGAATTCTAACCAAAGGATGCAAGCCGCAAGGATCGCCCAAGGGTGTCCGCTATCCCCCTATCAGCTTATAATTGTACAGACCGTCATGTTTTTCAACATGGACAAACGAATGGCGAGCCTGCACGAAAGTATCGTGGAACTGGAGTATATGGTATGTCGTGATCTCCTATACCCTGACGACAAAGTGCTCATCAGCAACGACTCCGGGAAATTGCAGATTTTTCTGACCAGAGTGATTGATGAAGGCCGAAGGTACGGATTAGATCTCAATTGGGACAAGACTGTATGCATGCGCTTGCATAGCTCTGGCATCATATCTTCACGAACCGGTGCTCCGCCTAAAACTGTTGAGCAATCTGTGTATTTTGGGGGCCTGCTGAACGTCCACTGCGCAGCTTAACCAGAAGTGACAAGAAGACTTTGTGAGGCAAAAGCAACCTTCAAGTGCCTAGCCCAGTGTTGGTCGAACGCCAGCATATGTCGCCGCAGAAAAGAAAAGCTGTTTTCTAACTTAGAGACTTTGTGGCTGCAGGCGGACACAAATCTTCTGGATAGCTTTCACACGAAACGTTAAGGCAAATCCTCAACATCCCTAGCACGTATGTTTCACGAGTACCCAGCAAGGAGATTCTGGACAAAGCGGGGTAACTTCCACTGAGCTGCACTTTGCGCGAGCGTCAGACGACCCTGTACAATAAACTTGTAGCGTTGCCGGAAGACCACCCTCTGAGGCTTTTAACGTGCGAACCAGGCTCTGAACGCCCAAGAAAATGGGAGCACCAGCGACGCAGGGGGAGGCTTAAACAGCAGTGTGCTCCTTGCGTCTATGGGCTTTGGCTTGCACAGGGGATGTAGCCCTGGTCCCTCCCCTCTTTTCCTTCCTCGCTTCTCTCCTCCACTCCTCCCTTCCTCCGCTTCTCCCTGCTCCATATACGATGATCTGCTTCACAGTCGGGCGCTTTGTTTACCGAGTTACAGTCGTGATGCGCTCTGCGTTTTTGTGCTTCACAGTCGTGATGCGCTCTGCGTTTTTGTGCTTCACTGTCGTGATGCGCTTCTCGTTCAAGCCGCGCGCTATCGCGGATGGGAGATTCAGCTCGGATTCGCAATGGATCCCGATGCTCTTCCCAGCAGGTTTTGCAATTGCACGGCTTCTTATCAATTTTTGTCAATACGCCGTGTAGGCGCCAGGCTCGACCGACCGACCGACCGACTGTATCAAGCGGAGTGCAGCCGCGTCGACGCGGCGCCTCCTGGTGGTGGAGGAAGACACGCCCCCGAATCCAGATCACGGAAAACCTTCAGAATGGCGACTTCCAGGAACTTCTTGGGCACCCTTCCACACAGGTCCCAACCACGACCCAAGTCAATCTGCGCGGAACTCCGAACATGGATGTGTATGCAGTGCGTCCTGCTTCGATTCCAAGGACTTTCTGGCGACACCCGAGAAACCAAACCGCCCCTTCTCATGTCCGACCCTTGATCCATCATGGTGAATCCCAGGTCCTCCATCCTCACACCCTTGACCTTCGAAGAGAACCTCGATCCTCGAACCTCCTCGAACCTCGGACTCCATGGACCATCGAACCTCGATGCTTGAGACCCCTGGAAGTCCCCACCCTACCCCAATGGGCCAACTTTTCATCCGCAACTGACGGCCATGGAACTCGAAAACTGCCCCAATAGGCAGAACACGAAAGAAACACTACGCCCTGATCGACTCCCTGGTCGGACGAAAGGGGGTGGACAACAATGGGGGCGTTCGCAGACTCAACTCGAATACGTAGCTGATTTTCCCGGCAACCGGGAGGCGTCAATCGCCACCGCGCGGCGTTGCCGTAACCAGGCACGCAGCTGATTTCACACCCCGCACCCGTTTCCCAGACCTCCGATGTCCCGATGTTTCAGTAAGTCGTCGTGCTACAATATGGGACGAACAGTAAGGAGCGAAGGAGCTTTTCTGGCGACGCATGGCCCAGGCCACAAACAGGTTCCACGACATAAATCTAAGGAACGGCCCGAGAGCCCGAGCCCCTCCTGAGCCCGAAGCGGTCCTTATTTCAAAGACTTGACTGCACCGCACGGGGTCCAAAGAGATTTCGGCCACCTCCACGGGGGGGTCCAAAACCTACGACAAAACTCGTCGTGACTGTTTCAACACGCTGGAATTCCGGGCGATTGTCTTCCCAGCACCTCCGTCCGACCCGAATTGATTGTCTTCCAGGTTGAGGGGCAACGTTTGGGCTGGAACCCGCTCAAAGGGGAAACATCGACCTGGAACCAGGGATGCATTGGCGGTAGGCCCCAGATAGCGGATCCGCGCGCTCCTGGGCGGGGTGGGCTATCGGGCTCCTATAGGCGATCCGTGGGCGATTGGGGGCCGACGTACTTACTCCCCCTGTGCCCGTCCCTGGTGGCCTTCGGATCATAGCTCGGGCCTCCGGCGGCCGTTCGGAAAGATCCAGGCGCCCCAAGAACGCTCTCGAACCGCAGCCGCTGGAAGGCATCCTGAGGCCGGAAAGCCGCCGAGAACCTGCGAAAACGTAAGAAAACCTAGAACCTACGAACACTCCCGAAAACGCCCGAAAACTTATCCCCCACTAGCGTTGCCGCTGACTGCCTGGGGACAGGATGTTTGTCGGGCACAAGCCCGTGGAGCGGGGGCTGTGTACGGAAATGGCATCCCTTGGGGGCACGATTTTTGTACACCACCCCGACAGACCTGGTCCGGCACGGACTGCGCGCGCGGGGGCGGTGGCCATACATCGGCCCCCAACTTCCATGGAGCCCTGGCAGACCCCCCGCCAACGCCTGCGCTGGCGGGGAGTCGGCAGCGAAGCGCCTCCGCTGGCGCCGCCTCGTCCTCGCCGACGCCTCCGCCGGCGCTGGCCCCTCGCAGCTCGTGTTTTGACGGTCCTGGGGCCCCAAACGCAGAGGCCGAAACCCGTGAAACACACGCAGTGTTTTTTTTTTGATTGCATTTTCAAAAAAAATTGGAGGTCAGCGCGATTGCTTTCCGGGGGCCGGCCGCCGCTGTGGGCGCCTCCGCCGGCACCGGCGGCTCCGCCCTCGCCGGCGGGCGCACCCGGCGCCGGGGCGGTGCGCTCGTTGGGGCGGCGGCGGCCGCCTGGCAACAAGGTGGGCGGGGCGCGGCGTCGCCACGGCGGCCGCCCTCCGCCGCCGCGGCCCGCCCGCGGCCCGCCCGCCGCCGCCGCAGTCGTCCGTCGTCGTCGTCGTCGTGGTCGTCATCGTCGTCGTCGTCGTCGTCCTCCTCCTCCTCCTCCTCCTCCTCCTCCTCCTCCTCCTCCTCCCCCTCCTCCTCATCCTGTTGACCCCAGTTGACTCCTCGGCAGGCGCATCCTCAACGCAGCTGACCTGCAAACCTCCCCCTCCTCCTCTTCTTCTGCTTCTTCCTCATCATCACCATCAGCATCAGCATCATCATCATCCGCACGGCAAAAGGAGGATCGCGACGTGCACAACGCCCCGCAGCGGGCACAACCGACCGAAGCGGGAAGGAAGAGGATTGGCCGACCCGGCCCAATCCACTGCCTCAGGCTCCAGCTCCACGCAGGCGACGGCAGCAACGATGGCGGCGGCGGCAGTGGCAAAGAATGCGGATATCGAACTGGAGCTGAACAGGCAAAAAGGTGCAAGGCCCACCGCTCTTCGCGCAGGCCTGCTTGGCGAACGCGCAAAAGGCACGCCCACGTGACCATGCTTTTTGTTCCCAAGGTAACGGTTGTCCTCCGGGGGAGGAGGGGTGTGGGTTCGGGCGGGAAGGTAATGGTAACGGCGGCCGCGGCGTGCATCGAACCGCCCGCGTGCATCACGGCGTGTAGTTTTTTTTTGTTTGGGGGGGGTCCAGGCTTAGATCGGGTGCGTGGAAGACCTCTCGCACCCCCAAGAATCTCCAAAAACTCAAACCGAATCTCGCAGAGACAGAAAATCTCAAACCAAATATCAAACCAGATCTTGCCGCGAGAGAATCTCCAAACGGATATCCGATGAAATCTTCCGAGATACTTTGGGGCCCAAGCGAAAACTCAAACGAAATCTTGCCACCGACGAATCCCGAGCGAAATCTCAAACGACATCATGCCGCTGCCACATCCCAAACAACATCTCAAACGAAATCTCGCCTCTTGCCAATCCCCAACAAGATCTCAAACGAATTCTTGGGCGACCAGAAACTCAAACGCAATCTTCCCCAGAACCTGCTGGCCAAGCTTCGCGCCGCGCGCGGCGTGGTGGTAAAACACAACTTCATGGTGGTCGAGTGCTTTGTCATCGGGGCAATGCTGATCGGAGCTGTGCGCGCCTTTGGAAGAAGTGCGCATTGCGGCGCGGATGGGCATTCCCCGCCCCTCGATCGAGCGACTGCCTCGGCCGCGATGCTGGGCAGCGAACCTGGAGATCGGCGCCGCGCCGCCCGCCGACGGCCCTAGTTCACCAGGCGCACTGGCGCGGTTAGCGGCCACCGCGGGCACAAGCCTGCAGGTCACTACGTCGCGGGGCTCGCAACCACCATTCCCTCGGCGAGCCGAATAAGGGCACCACTTCCGGCGCGCGCGTGCGAGACTCGCCTGCGCCCGCGCATGACCCAATCGGATTGGGTTCGGCGGTGCATTTTGGGCGGAAGCGTCTCGGGGCGGGGGCGAGCAGCCCAATGCTCACATGCGTGCGCGTTATTTTTGGAACCAACTCTTGGAGGTAACAGCCTTGACGTTGGCAAACATGCCCCCCCCCCCCCCCCTGGCTCCGGAGCGGCCCCGGTCCGGTGACGTTTTTGTCTTGGGGGTGGTTGCAGTTGGGGCTGCACGTATGGTAACTTGCCATGGGCCTCTTCTTCGCCACTGTTTAGCTTCCTCCTCTCCTCATGCTGCATACTCCACTCCTCCACGACCTATGGCTTCTCCTCGGTAACATCCGCGGGTACCACAACGCTGAAAGCTCCTGGCAAAGACTGCCCGAGTCCCTGAGGTTGTTCTCCTGCTGCTGCCCCACTGAGATCGGCGGCCCGCTTACTAACTGGTCAGACCACTTCTGAATGGTTAGCCGCCCACTTAGGCCACTTGGCTAAGTAGGTTCTAAGTACTTAGCCTAAGAGCCTAAGTAGGTTAGCAAGGACTTAGCCTAAGTAGGCTAACTGGGTTAGCGCCCCAACTTAACTACTTGGCCTGGGTCGGCCAAGGGGGCCAGGGGAGACAACGTAAGGGGCTGGGCGCGGGGTGGGAAGCCCGCTCCCAGCGCATATCTACCCCCCGCCCCCGGGGTTATCCCGATCGCGGGCCGCCGATCTCAGTAAGGGGGGGGGGGGGCGGAAGGAGGGGGGGGGGGGGGGGGCAGCGCGAGGAGGAGAAGGGGCAGGAGAGTAAGAAGGGTCGACAGGGTAAGAGGAGGAGGAAGAGGAGGGGGAGGAGGCAGAGGAGGACGAGTTGGGAGGGAGGAGAAGGCAGAGGGGGCAGGCGGCAAACGGCCGAAAGGCCTCCTGGAATGCGCAAGTTTTGCAATCTAACTCCCACCCATCAGAGCCCCGCGCCCACTGTCCATGTCCATGCCTCAACTTCGCAGGAATAATCACCTGCAGCACGGAGCCTTTTGAAGCAACCCCAGCTATACAAGGCTCGATCAGGCATTCGGTTGGCAACACACGAGGAGCACCACTTACCCGGCACTGAACGCAATGGCCCCTGGAATGTCCCAGAGAGAGATGCACGAGACCAGTACGCCGTCCACTTTCGACTGGAACCACAGACGACCAACAAAAACGCTGCCGTCGTTGTCGCCAGTGCAGCATGCAACATCGTTCATGTCGAGAACACGGCCATGCACACATGCGGAGCGGATTGACACAACCTCGGCCCCTGGCCGAACACGCATGGCAGAGCAAATGGCACGCAGCATGTTCTTGATTGCGGGCCTGGGCTCGAGAAGGTCTAAACCCTCGAGCTCATACTTGAGCTCGAAAAGATGCTGGCACGTGATATCTTCGATCAAGCTGCGCTCGAACGATTTCGTGTTCTGGCGCTCGTTTGCGAACCGTTTGGGCGCGCGGTGCTTGCGCTCCATGAGGAACGTCGAAAGTAAAAGGCCGTGCCGATGCAACTGCGACGGCAGGTGCATGTTAAAATGGTTGTTCGGCTTCCAGAGCGCTGGGGCCCAGTGGGCCTGCTGGGCTGTGTAGTGGGCTACGAGTGCATTCATCAGCCGAGTAGGCGCGACCACTCCAGCGTTGACAATCGAGAGCAGGTCGAGCACTTCGCAAAGCTTCACCATGCTATCCACTGCGCCCTAGAGCCTCGGAGCCTTCTTGAGCACCACGTCCAGCATGTACTTTCTGATCGCAGGGGCCGCGGACATGTACTCGCTGGCGCTACCAGACGCACCATGTGAAGGGACCTTCTTACACAAGCCCTTCCCGCTCGCGTAGCCGCCTGGCCACGCCCAGAGCTTGAGGTACTCGTGCAACGTGGCGCCTCCGAGATTCTCTGCCGCGAGCAAGTCCAGTGCGGCATCCAGCTCGACGATGAACACTCCGCCCACGAGGTAATTGTGCATGCAGTCGTACGCCCAGACGCCCGCGACCTGGATCGCGAGGTCCTTGTCCTGCAGCAGGGACTCGGGGTTGAACTTGTAGCAACTTGTAGCCCAGCAGCGTCTCGAGCTCCCTGCGAGCAGTCGTGCCCCGCGTCGCTTCCACCTCGGCCAGCCTGTCATGGACGCTTCGGATGCTGGCGTTCGAATGGAGCTTGAACTTGGAGGCATCCAGCTCCGTCGGGACCGTGTAGCCAGTCCTGTCACCTTGGGCCAGGTTGCACTTGAACGATACAACGTTCTGGCAGAGGGCGCACAGCTTTATCCCCGTCGCGCCCATGACCTCCATGCTGAATTTGAAAGTCTCTCGTCCTGTATGATGACGGCCAGAGAGCCCCGCAAAATGCGAGGCATCGCCTCTCCGAAGATATTGAGCTCAACCCCATGTGCGCAGGTCGGGCTGGAGAGGCGCTCCGAAGAACACCTTCAGCACGATGCGGAAGAGCTGCGACATCCCGCCCTTGAGCCGAAGGACGAGGTCACTCCTGCACACGCAGGCCGTCATCCACGACTGCTCGTTGCACAAGGTGGGGAACTGGAAATCCAAAATGGACCAGTAGATCGCCTCCAGCTTTCGGCCGTTCACCTCCTTGAGCGGGCTGCCAAGGGTGAGCTCGTCGCTGTACGCCGCAATCCTGATCGTGTTTCCAGTTCGGTCCAGAACTCGGGTGATCAGCCTGCGGAAGGGCTCGCTCCTCTTGCAGGCCGCCTCGATGAAGCCGAACGGGTGCTGGACCCAGACGTGCTCGAGGCCCTCGTCGGTGTCGACCTCGATGCGCTGGCACAGCGGTCCGGAGGTCGTCTGCTGGTGTGTCTCCTTCTGACGGTGCCTCTGCTGGGCCCGCGAGCTGAAGGCCTCTGGCAGATCCTCATCGGACAGCTGCTTCAGGAGGCCCTCGAGGGCAGCATGGCTGATGTGGCGGTCCCGCCCGAGATCGAGCAGGCGAGCTCGCTTCCGCTCGCTCATGTCCAACTCTGTCGAATCGCCTTGAGCCAAAACGGCTGCGGAGGGGGTGGGAGGAGGGTGGGGGCCTGTGATTGTAGCTTGCTTTTCTGGGGGGTCGTTTTTGGGATTCTGTATTTGGGGCGTTGGTTGTCCCTGGCCTTTTTGGTGGTTTTGATGTGTATTGTCGTTGGGTCTGCTTTGCTTCTGCTGTCGGTGGTCCTCGTCGCCACAGCCGCATTCGCATCGGCATCCTCTCTGTGATCGGAACGCGCCCCAGGTCATGCATTCGGGTCTGCCTTTGATGGTGTCGTGATGGTGGTGATGGCGACGATACGTTTTATGATGACGAGTGTGTAATGATGTATGTTACTGGTGATGGTGGTGGTGATAATGGTGGTGACGATGCTTCATCTTCGCTCGCTTTCTCTGAGAGCTCTGCGCTCACCTCTCATGAGCCCCATACATACCTCTAGCAGCAAAAACGTACACGTGCTGCGGTGCGTCCGCACCCGCGGCTCAGCCCTAACACCTAACACTCATGGCGCCGCGACTCGGAGCTGATCCGACAGAGCGACGGAAGCAGACATACTGAAAACGGCTCGAGAGTGCCCGAACGCAGTGGGCACCCTACTTCTTCGCGTGCTTCTGGTGCACCAGCTTGGCCTTGTGGTGCGCCTCCTTGGCGATCGCCCTGCTGTCGACGTCGCCCTTCCCAGCTGCGACCGCCATCCTCTTTGCCGCATCGTGCGCGCGGCTCGTGAAGGCGTTCTCGCTGCGGGTCTTAGCGTCGGCAGGCTTCAACCAGTCCGAGTAGTCGATCGCGTGGCTGACGGGCTTGGGCAGGGGCTCGGCCTTGGCCTTGGACTTCGCCTTGGCCTAGGCCTTGGCCTTGCCCTTGCCCTTCTTCGCCCTCGCCTTGCCCTTGCCTTTCGGCTTGGGCGAAACCGCAGCGGCTACGATCTGCTGCTCGAAGTCCTCGACCTCGTCACTGCCAAGAGCGCCGAGGACGCGCGCGCCTTGCTCTGGACTCGCCCCATGCGTCGGAGTCGTCGCAGGCGCCAGAGCCCCCGACGAGATCGAAAGGGGGGTCGGTTGGCGGCGACCCTCCGCCAGCGCCAGCGCCAGCGCTGCCGAAAGCCATGCTGCTCGGGGGCGGCGACGCTGCGCCCTGCGGCCTCGGGAAGCACGTGATGTTGCAGCCTCCACCGCGGTCCGCTCCAGCGCCGAACATCGGGGGCGCGCTTGGGGCGCCGAACATTGGGCCGCACGCCCGGGCCGCCGGCGACATGAGGAGCTGGGGCGGGTCGTGCTGCAGGCGCCCTGGCACTGCAAAGGCTGCGCTCGATTGCTGGCTCTGGGCGGCGCTCGAGGCGCCGCCGCCCAGCTGCCTGCTCGAGCGCCTGTGGACCATCCCCTGCACCTCCGCCTCCAGGTTGTCGAGCTCGGCAGGGGGCGCGACGGTGCGCTCGTCGCCGTGAGCGCAGTTCAAGACCCTGTCGCGGCCGAACAGGTCAGGCGAAGGCGGGTGGACCTCGATGCGCGCGAAGGGCCAGGTCTTCACGGTGTCGAGCTGCCTCGGCCGCGACTGGAGGTCCACGCGCGTGTTCCTCTTGGCCGTCGCCTGCGGCGGCGTCTGCTTGAACGACTGGTGGCAGGAGATGCCGACGGCAACGGCCCTCATGAGCAGCTTCTCGCCAGCGCAGGTGATGCCAATCTGGCGCATCCTGCGAGCCACGACCTGGAGCTTCATAACCTCGGAGTTGTCCTCGCTGGCGATCGCCCCCCAGTCCGCGGTCGTGAAGAAACGCTGCAGATTCTGGCACTTCTGCCGGGGGCGGCCCACGCTGCCGCCAGCGCGCGCAACGCCCGAGGCGGCCTGGGCCCGCTGGTTCAACGCCGTGGCCATCGAGATCTTCTGCTGCTGCGTCCAAGGCACGTTCGAAATCTCCTGAGTAACAACCGTGGCAACGGCGAGGTCGACCCCGGGGGTCGCCGCGAAGGTCGCGTTCAGAGCGTTGGCCTGCGCCTGAGCCAGGAGATTGCGATCGAGGCCCGCGTGGGCCTGGGCGTTCACGAACCCGATGCGCTCGCGCAGCGTCCCGATCAAGCGCCGGGCATGGAAGGTCGACTCGGCCATGCTGGCGCGAGGAGAAAGGCTTGGATGTGTCCGCGCGCGAAGGCACAGAAAACTATAGCCGAGCTACTTGAGCCCAAAGGGCTACGGAGGAGGCGGAGGAGGAGCAGGGAGGAGGGAGGCATCGGGGAGCAGAACAGGCGAGCCAAAGGCCTCGCCTCTTCGTCCGAGTCTGAGCTCGAGCGAGTTCTCGATTGGTTTTTGGAGCTAGCTTGGGTCTCTGAGGGCTTGGGGGGATACGCCAGCACCAGGCGCCCTCTCCTCCTCCTCCCCCTCCTCTGCCCTCCTCCTTCATCTTCTCTCCTCCTCCTGCCCTTCCTCATCCCCTCCTCCTCCACCTCCACCCCTCCCCAATCCCCTCGTCCCTGTCGCTGATGCTCCTCCCCATGCTGCTGACCGAGTCCACCGCGGCGATGAGAGAGGCCTCCAAAAACCTCCGAAACAAATGTACGTAGGTCGAGCGATTTAGGTGCATGCGAGCTCCCTTAGCGGCCCTGAATGGCATGGGAGGGAGATCTCACCATACACAGAAGCCGGCTCCGGACTCGCCCTGGGCAGATCGACCCCTGGGATCGAACTTCTCCTGGGCAGTTCACTCCAGCTGGGCCAACTGCTGGTGAGGAGGAGGGCTCCAAACTTTGTGAGTGTCGCACATGTGGGGCGATGTGTTGTACAAGTTGCCCCAACTCCCCCCATCAAGTTGGCCCAGCGGGAGTGAACTGCCCAGGAGAAGTTCGCTCCGCTGAAGGCCCAGACCAGCCGCGCCGCTCGGGCGCGGAACGGGCAGCCACGAGCACCACGAATCGTGATTACACGAGCTCAGATCACTCTATCTTGTGCTTGCCACCTTGTGATGATGATGTGATGGCGATGTAAGTTTCTCGCGCGGGGCATGGCACTATGCCACGGGCTGAGTACATGTAGCGATGCTACTAGAATTGTCTTGCACAATTGGCCAGCCGCCGAACTAAATCTGAGAGACGGCTGGTACGTGAGAAGAGGGCCCACCGTCCACCACCAAGAGCACTGCGCGCATCTGGCTAAGCCCAGATGCGCACCATAGCGCGACTGCAGCATGCCCACGTCAAATGCAGACCGCGCCTCCTATAGGAGGTCGGACGAAAGTAAAACTGCTCCCAATCACTCCCCGGGCCCCGTGTGGTGCTGCTCCCTGAAAGCGGCCAGCACCTTGGCCATGCTCACTGCCCTCTCCGCCATGTTGGGGCCAGCCTGCACAGCCATCGACTTCGCGCGCCACGTCTGCTTCGCGACATCGTAGTAGCGCGTCTTCACCGATCTCTTGCAGCGGTCCCACTCCGCGTGCTCGATGCCGATCTCGGGGTCGGGATCGGGCACCGCCGCGACGTCAGGCTCCTCCAGCAGGAGCGATAGGGCCGCGCTGGTGAGCTCGATCGCCAACTTCGCGCGATGGGTCGCGGACGTGGCGACTCTGACCTTGTGCTCCACACCGCGCACTGTGACCTTGACCTGGGTGGCGCTCGGAATGTTGCCGAAGGCCTCCCTGCGAGACCTCTTGGGCACTGCCTCTCCGTCCCCCATCGCGGTCCACTGCTGGGCCAGTCGCAACCGCTCGCTCGGCCTTGACGGCCTCGTCCATGAGAGCGTCCACTGCACTGCTGCGCTCTGTGGTCAAGATGGTCAGCATGTCGAGCTTGTGGCTGGCGTACTTCATGAACTTGGAGTCCTGCTTGTCCGTGGTGGCGAAATGGTGGCCGTCGGGCTCGGTGATCTCCGCGACCCAGCCTGCCGTCGGGTTGCACCGCTCCTCCGAAGAGGCGATGCGTATCATGGCAGTCTTGATGAGCGCAGTCATCGTCGGAGCCTGCACGGGGCGCAGAAGGAGCGAAAGACTGATATGACCTTGAGCCAACACGGCTATAGCTATCGGATTATGGTGGAATGATTGTTGGTGATGGTGGCTATGACAATAGTGATGTTGTTTGATTTGATGTTGAGTCCTCATCATCATCATCATCCTTCCGCGTTTGTGTTGTTATGTTTTTCTCTGCTTATATAGGTCCCTGTAACCTTTGATGGTGGGGGGTCGTTGTTTGTGGTTTTGGATTTGGGACGTCGGCGTTCCCTGGCCTTCTTGAGGGTTTGAGTTGTGATGTTGGTGGGTTTGGTTTATGTTTTGTTTGGGTTCCTTGTCGCCGCGGCCGCATTCGCCTCGACATATCGGTCAGAACGCGCCCGAGCGCACTCTGGCCGTCGCGATCGCTACCGGGCGCCTCGCACTAGAGCTGCATTGTCTCGAGAAGTCGATCACCGCCCGTGCTGGGCGCGGCGCGGAAGCCGCTGCCGATGAAGAAAAAACCACATGGGAAAAAAGACCAGCAGCTCGTCTCTGCCGAGCTCGCGCATACTGATGTTATTAAACTACCATGCTCACATGGCGCGCTCTGCGCCTCTCTGGTGATGCCCCCCCCCCCCCCCCCCCCCCCTCATCCTCAACCTCGTCCTCTGCAGCCTCTTCCTCATCATTATCCCCCCCCCCCCCCTTGGTTTATCCGCTGAGAGAGCGCTGCACCTGCCTGCGCCCCGCGCGCTATAGCAGGGAAAACTTGAGACGCAACTAGGCCTTGGCCTTAGCTTTCGAGGACGCCTGTGGAGGGGCTGCAACTGCAAGCACGTCGCCCACCTTGAAAGGCTTCGAATTCGTCGGGGCTGGGATCTCGATCGTGCTTTCGACGACCGCGGTCGACAACTTAGTTGTCTCGACGACTTTGACGAACGAGCGAACCATGTTCGCGGGAGCACCGCGGGAAACTTGCTGGACGCACCAGTAGGGGACCACAAACTGATCAGAAGTGGGCTTCTCGCTCAGCTCGCACCGAGGTGCGATGTAGATGACTACGCCGTCGGGAGCTGGTTGAATGGGAACGATAACAGCTCCACTGGGCATCTTGGCTCCTGCATTGATGCTCGTGCTTGAAGGAATCAGGACCAACTCACCCTTGGGGAATTCCCGGCTGCTGACCACCTGGCGACCCTTCCTGTCCCCGAGGACGATCGCCGCGTCGACGCCCTCGAAATTCGCAGCATACGCGCCGGCGAGCGCCGGCCGAACCATGCCAGAGGAGCCCAAGGGAAGTCTCCTCCTCAGCCTCCCCCTCCTCCTTCTCCTCCTCCTCCTCCTCTTCCTCAGTCTACTCCTCAGCCTCCTCCTCTTCCTCGCCCTCCTCAGCCCCCTCCACAATCTCCTCCCTATCTTCCTTGCCCGCCCCCCCCTCCTCCCCCTCCTCATCATCCTCCTTCGGGTGGCAGCCGCGGGCCTGTGCTATTGCCCGCTGCTGCTTCGTGTCCTTGTGCTCCCGTGCGTCGGTGAAGCTCGCGGGGGGGGCGCGGCGCTCCGTCTTCGCGCCCGCGACCTCGGGGCGGGCGGAGGAGGAAGGAGGGCGAGAAGGATGGCGAGGATACTAGCGGAGGGGGGAAGGGAGGATTAGGAGAGAAGCAGGCGGCAGAGGATGTTTGAACCCATCCTCCTTCCAGGGGGGAGGGTGGAGGGGGCTGAGGGGGGGCAGGGGCGTGCAATCTGGTGTGTATATATATACATACATACACAAATATATGAACACATGGTTATGCTGCTAAAATATACACATACATGTATATACACCTGGCGCACGCGTTGCTTGCGAGTTACACGCGCCCCCCGCCCAGCCTCGCACTCGCCAGCCAGCTCCTTGTTGGTGATCGTGATGGTGTTGGCGTCGCCCCTGCCGTCGACGCCCTCGCCCTCCGCCTTGCGCGCCCCGCCCCTGCCCCTCTTGGACGCCTTGCCGCCGGACAGCGGCGCGAGCGCCACCTGCCCGTTCTCGATGCGGAAGATCGCGCCCTCGACAACCTCGTCGGAGATCTTGCGCGCGACGTCGCCGACATTGAAGCCCGGCTGGCGCAGCGCGGCGTCGGCGAGCACCATGCCGCCCGGCGTCGCCCTGAACTGGACCAGACCACGCGCGCCTGCAAACTCCGACGGCGTCGACCCGCTGGCTGTCGACCCGCTGGCCGTTGGCGCCTCCGACCGCCCCCAGGGCGCAGTGCCCTCCAGGGTGGCGCCAGAGCGCGCAGCCTCAACATCGTCGAGGAACTTGTCCTTGATTGCTGCCATGCTCGAGTACTTCTTATTGCCCTTCCCCTGTTTGTCGCGGCCCATCATGATGCGCCGCGCCTGCGTGCCCCCCCAAACCCTAGCTTTAGAAAGCGCCGTCATGCCATCTACCGTCTGTAGGAAACTCTTGGCCGTCGCCGTCGTGGCGAGGTCCGCGCTGCAGAGCAGCTTCGCGACGCCGTCTCGGCATTGCGAATCGGGGGCGCACGGGCGCGCCTTGATGCAGGCGGTCATGTACTCGGGGCCCTGCATGTAGTTAATCTTCGCGAGCATGCCGAACGTGGAGCCGCGGTGGACGCCCCTCCTGCTGTCGCCTACCGTCTGGGCGAAGGCGCGGGGCTCGTTCAGCAGGCAGCCGCCGTCGCCGCCCGAGTACGTCGCCACGAAGGAGCATAAATCTGCGACGTGTCCTCTAAGATGCGGCCGAGTCCTCTCGATCTGGCTCTCGACGTTGCCCCGCTGTACCTTGCCGTGCGCCTTCGCGCTGTGACGCGCCAGCTTGTGGATCTGAAGGAGTGTCTGCAGATTGCTCTGCCGTCGGTTCGCAGCGCGGTTGGCGTTGTCGGCCTCCGGAAGAAAAGATGCCAGATCTGGAATGGCCGCGCCCACCTCGTGGCGAATCACCGCCCGCTGCATGCCCTGGGTGAAAGCCCGCTCGTGCTCCTCGCTTCTCACGACAGATGCAACCTTGCTCGTCCACGATCTTCTCCAAGGGACTCTTCGCTGACAGCGCCGTGCACCTCGCGCCCGCCACGGTGCGCGAGCAGGTCGCGGCGAGGCACTTCAGGTCGGAGGGGTCGAATTCCGGCAGGCACCCTGAACTCGAAGAAGTGAGCGCGTGGTTGAAGGCCCACTGAGCCTCCCGAGCCTTCCCAGGCGGCGCCATCTCGAAGCAGGCCGCTCCAGCGCATTTATCGTACCTGAAGCCGCCCAGGAGGATCACCTCCAGCAGCTCGTGCACGTCCTGGGCCCCCAGCCCCACCCCGAACCTGTTGGCTCGATGGGTGGCCACCTGGATGACCTTAATCCACACGTTGTCCGTCGCGACCTTCCTCCCAATCAATAGCTTGAGAATGCCCTCCGCTGCCACCGTGATCCGCTTCGTCCCCTGGCCGTCGCCCGAAGACTGGCGCTGGGCGATCACCTCCATGATCACGGGCTTGGCCTCGTTGATGGCCGCCTCGATGGCCGTCGCCGTCGCCATGGCCGCCACGTTGTTGCCAATGGCAAGTGGGCGCTGGAGTCGCCAAGCCTCGAAGCTTGGGCCAGTGCGGCTATTGAGCAAGAGCGGCCATGTCATCCTCTCCCTCCGCCTCCTTATTCCCCTCGCCCCCCGTGGGCGACGACGGCCCACGCACGTCGCAAGCCCCCCATCGGGCGCGTAAGAACGAGGAGGGGGAAGGGCGAGGGGAAGGGGAAGGGGGATAAGAGAGGGGGGGAGGGAATGAAGAAGATGAGTTCGGGGGTTCTCAGAACGGCGGGGGGGGGGGGGGGGGTAGAAGACACCTCTCCTAACCTACTTAGCTATCCCCGCTAACCTACTTAGCTATCCCCGCTAACCTACTTAGCCTGAGTCCCCTATGTGGTTAGACCACTTCGGCTAACCTACTTAGCTAAGTCCCCTATATGGTTAGTCCTGCGCGACCCCACTTAGCATCTACCCTAACCACTTAGGGTTGGGTAGTAAGTATATAGGGAGACGTAGGCCACTTCTAAGCGGGAATGCATCCTACTTACATGTGGGTTAGTATCCACATAGAACCCCGCTAAGTACTTACGATCCACCCCGCCCCTGCTGCCCCCCTGGGCCGGTGGTGACCTCATTGGCCCCTCCGGGGCAGTTGAGGGCGACGTGCCCCTCACCACCGCGCTTGAAGCATGATCGCTCGCTGTGGGGCGCGAACCCCTGGCATCATTTACCTCCTCCTTTAGCTCCTCCGTTACCTCCTCCTGTATACCGCCCCCGGTAACCTCCATTGCCGCCTTTGCCTCCCCCTGCATCTCCATTGTAACTCTTCTGACTTCCGCGCCCTCCTTTGCCGCCCTGGCCGCCTGGGTAACCTTTGTAGCTGCTGTTGTAAATGTTCTGGTAACCTCCGCATTGGAATCCTTTGCCAGCATGTCCTCCTCCGTCGGCCCCTCCCTGACTCTTACCTTCGGCAACTCTTCTATTCGGGCGGCCGCGGCCGATGTGGCCTCGAACTCACGGGGGGCCCAGCGTAAAGGTGCCCCGCGGGGCCACCATGAGGCCTCGCCGCCCATGGCGGGCTGCGACCTGCTAAACTGCAGCCTCTTTCGCGTGCCCGGGGGGTCGAGCGGAGGGCGCCCCCGGGGCGCCGCCGTGACACGCCGCCGCCCCTGGCGGGCAGCGGCTTGGAAACAATCGCCAATGCCGCGGGCCCCTGGGAAGCCCTGCGGGGGGCGCCCCACGCGCGCCAGCGTAGACGTCGCCGCCCTTGGGGCGCCGCCACTTACGTGGGCCCCGGAAAAACTCCAACGAAATGGCCCCCTTCGGTGACCACCATGAGACGGCGCCGCCCCCTGGGGGGCAACAGAAAAGGGGGCGCGGACGGGCGCGCGGCCACGGGGCCCGCGGGCGGGCGGCGGCGCAAGCGCCGCGGCCGCCGCGCCTGGGCGCCCCAGCAACCCCAACAAGCAAGAGAGGCACTAGCGGCGCATTCGGCCTGTAGAACCCCCATGGA